TCAAAGGTTTGAGGCCATAAGGGATTAGTATTATTCTCGTGTTTCACCTTGCATGTTTTGACTTCCAGAATAATTGAGTTTATTAAGAATAATCGAATTATTTGAACGGGCCACAGTCGTTCATATGTTGGAAGTAGGTATGAATGAAGACTGTCGTGAATTGGTGTGTGGATTGTCTAGAAGAGTATTAGACATAAGCAAATGTTTGCTGCAACGTTCATGAGTGCTTATGAATATGATTTGAGCATTGGATTAAACCCACGCTCACTTGGATCACTCCATGAATTATAAGTGATTGGTGAGACGATAACATCTTATATTCTTGAAACTGAGATGTGTGAGTTGTATCTTGCAAATCGGTTGCACATTGATAATATGTAAACGCACCAGTAACTTGGTGTTATAAAACATATTGTTGTGTGTGATTCGGTGAGTGAGTGCAAGCAAGCATTGTATCAAAGTTTATCCGTTCCTTTTATTCAAAGAATAAAAGCGATATCTTTTGGGCCCCTCGATGGTTTAGTGATGACAAACGTAAATGCTCGGCCGGGCTAGGGCTAATTTGATTTGTTCAATTAGTCTGTCGTCATAAATCGGAAATCGAGATATAGTACAAAGAGAATGATTTAAAATCATATCTCATATGATATCTAGAATGGAGGAATATATGATCCCTTATCTAAGGACACGCGTATCTGATAGGATTAGAGTTGACAGCGGCTTTGGAAAGCTACGATTGCAGATTAGGATCCGAAGTCATACGCAGAATAGTTGTTAGACTTATCCAAGTGGGAGACTGTTGGATTAGTGTCTAAGTCCATAACTATTTTGGTATGTACTTGACCCGATGGTGCATGGTCCTTTTGGGTTGCCTTCACCAAAGCAACTTGATTAGAGAAATAAATAGAGAGAGAGGTTATTATGATTTATTAATATTTTATAAGAATAATATATTAAAGGAGAAATCATATTTGTTTAATTAATATTGGTCAATAATTAATTAGGAATTAATTTTGTGATCAAGTGTAATTAATTAAACTAGAGGGGCTGATTTGTAATTATGTGATAGTTACAAAATAAGGTAAGGATTATCTTAAATATATGATGAACGAATTTGAGGTGATAAGGCCTTAGAATTCGACTATGATAAGGATTCAAGGATTATCTTATGGGTTGCTTTGTGAATAAGCAACTAGATAAGGATAATGACTGAAACCTTATCTCTACACCTATATAAACACCCCTTGGCTCATGAATTCATGTATCCCTTCCCAAGGAGTCCTAAGGGCGAATTCTAACCTCTCTCCTCTCTCTTTATACCTTCTCCATTTGCTCTTGGTGTTTGTAAGCCATTAGAGGAGTGACACTTGTGACTCTAAGCATTCCAAAGTCAATTCAAGGTGGGATTGGGATTGTTATTGCTACATAACAATCAAGGTAACATTATAAACTCATTCTTATGTTAATATGATTACTTGCATGCTAGAATTAGGGTTTATAGTCTTGGATTCAAAGCATGTACAATAGAGAAACCTAGATCCAAGCATTAGGGTTTGTATGAGCACATAGGATGTCTTATGACCAAAACCCATCAGTTTTTTCATCAAGATGTTAGCAAGCTCTTCCAACTTTTTCTTTTTAGTTCATTTCCTTAAATAATTTTACATACTTGGAAATTTGTGCAATTGCTTCAACCAAAGGATTATTATGATGTTATTTCTTGAATAAACCCATAAATGTACCATATTGAGAGTCCAACTTGTCATTCCTTTGTCAAGATGGGAATGAAGAATATTCAACAAAGTGAAAACCAAGGTGGAATACTTGTGGTACTTTGTGAGAATTTAGGTCGTACTTGGTCTGATGAGAAATTAAATTCGAATTTGACATGCAAAAATGATAACCACACAATCGACACGATATGATTTGAACTTCGAAATTTCATGTTTTTATTCGGTGAAAATTTTAACAATTATCTGATAATGTCTTCACTGTCAAGGACTTGCACTTTTTGCTTTTGACGTCTTTCGGCTACCATTTTCAATTTCATAATTCCTGTAAATTAAACACAGGTAAGTGCATTTATGTAAATAGTTATCTTTTGTTAAAATAATGTAGGAGGAATAATTCTTGGCGTTTCAGGTTGAATCTTACTTTCATCATATGGCGTACGTTGATTGGTTCGGTACATATCTTCTTTCAACGCGTACTTCTAGATTTCATCACTCCGGTCAAACCGATATCACATTCAATTTCAAAAGTTGGTCCTTTTATTTTGTAATCGATGACAATCATGTGCAAAAAGGGTGAAATGTCATCAGTAGATGTCTCTAAATCTAATGATATTTGATCGAGGAAGGCGTACATACAGGTTGCTATGAAAAATGTAGATGGAAGAATGACGGACTTTGGTGCCGGAAAAAGAGACCACCAATAGTGTTAGGGAAAAAAATGGTATTTATGATTTTTTAGATAGTTAAAGGTTATATATATATATATATATATATATATATATATATATATATATATATATATATATATATAAAACCTTTAACTATATATATATATAATTTGATAATTTAATAATATGGAAAATGAGTAAAGATCTTATTGTATATTTACATTTAGAACAAAATTTCAACTTAAATAACTCATGCATTTATGTAAAATCATTATGACATGTATATATAATCCTTAATGTAAGAAGTATACAAAGAAATATGTAGAATTACAAAATTGAAGTTATGCAAAGATAATATTAGTGCCTGTATTTTTATACTTTAAATGTTATTAAAGTACAAATCTATCATTAATTTTTAATTATTTTTTTATTATTAGTAAAAAAACTTTATTCTTAATTTTTATTAGTAACTTGTTCATCTATGTTTATTACAATAACTTAATTTTGTAATTTGTCATATTCTTTGTTCATTACGTGTGGTTGTTTTCTTTTATATTTAATATATTTTATTATATAATATCATCAATTATATACTATATTAAAAGCCGTGGCTTTTGGCCTCTGCTATCTAAATAGGATTGTGGCCTCTGCTATCTACATAGATTAAATCCGAACCACCCATCAATGCTTTTGAATCCGACTACCAACTAAATCCGACCCATCCATTGAATCCGCCTACCGACTGAATCCGACCCACCCATTGATTCCGTTCTACTGTAACCAACCAAATTCCGGTTTCTTCCCCAAAAATTTACGATCAGCAATCCAAAAAGAACCACCCACCAATGCTTTTGAATCCGATTACCGACTGAATGCGACCCACTCATTGATTCCCTTCTCCTGTAACCAACCAAATTCCGGTTTCTTCCCCAAAATAATCATTCTCTTGCTATCTGTAAACCCTACGTTCTCATCGTATCTTTGATTCTCTTCGTCTTCCTATCTGTAACCCCTTCGTTGAAGATCGCGTTTACGGACTCTGTGTCTAAATACAACCGATAAGGATGTTCCTATATCTACTGTTTTTGGTCATTTCATCTCAGATTTATAATGCTTTTTTTAATCTTCATTTCCTTCTAATGGATCCTCGAATGCATTGTTTGAATATAAAAATAAGATTGTTCAGTGTGATTTTCCATATAGATTATATGCATTTTTTTTATATTCATCTTCTTTCTTCTGGATATCACGCATCGTTTTGATCTTCATCTCCCTGTTCATGCATTTTTTTAATCTTCATCTTCTTTTTTCTAAATATTCAACATCTTTTTGATCTTCATCTCCTGCTGATTTCCTCAACCTGTAAAAGGAATAATCAGAATTTCTTCATTAATGACTGTCATAAGATATCAAAGTCTTCCAGTGTATATGAACAAATAGCAATTATAACTTCGTAATACCAGCCGATGAAAAAGTTTAATTTCATATTAAAGTAAACAACAATTACAAACCTAAACAGCAAAAACAAATTATGGGTTTTACTGAACTACAATTCCAACCTTTTGCAAGGGTATAATGGAATCAGAGATAAATAGAATGGTCCACTTCATTGGAATTAACAATTCCATCCTTCACTAATTGCATTATAATAAACACTAATATCACAACATGTAAGGTTGAGGACCCAATAAGTAATCAAAAAAGGAAACAACAACAATTCAGCATGTAGCACTGTATAATCCTCTCCACATACCACCATTTAAGATGCACATACAACTCCTCACTAATAACACCCACAACAAATTGTTCTTATGTTAGACCCCACCACCATAAGCAAACTAAGAAGATTGGTCGTTCAATTGAAGGGTAGAATGGGAACCACAACCGAGTCTTATGCCGACCAGACCCAGGCCTTACCTGAAAGAATTTTTGAAATGGTTTGGTTTGACTGGTCAAACTTTATTTGGTCAAAATCATGAGAAAATAGTCAAATCCCTAAGAGAGAATTTTGATGTAACTCATAATAGAATTTATGAAATTTATGAAGAGTTTTGATTGAAACTTCAGTCTATATAAAATCAAAATATTACAAATCATTTACAAAATGGAAAGTTAATGGAATCACAAATGATGAGATTTTCACTGATTTTCAAATTCCAACCCTTTGCATGTTACTGAATAACACTTTATATTAAGGGCTTCTCGCAAAGACCTAATTTTGTTGTTTGAGATTTTTGGTGGTGAGATTTTAAAATTAATTGAATATCTTTTTTTAGCTTGGTGGTGTCAAGAAGTAGGATCTGATCTTTATATAGATATATAATAATCCAATAGAATTTTGATTGCAAATCAGCTTCATAACTAAGGATTGAATCATCTTCCTGGATTATTCAATAAAAGAGTGAAGGCATTTAGCATTGACTAAGGTATGTTTTTACCCTTTTCTTTTTGGGTGTTTTTCCCTGTTTTTGTATACAATAAATTATGTTCTGCACAATTTGAATTATTCTACTTATTGTTGTTTCCGTAATATAGTTTTATTTTCTTTGTATCACTGTTTCTTCTGTCTCCTTCTACATGAGTATTGCCTTTTACGTTAATGTCTTCTAACAAACGGAAAAGAAGTTCTACCTCTGTGGCGTCGACATCAGCTCACTCAAGGACGATTTCATTTCCCATTGATGTTGATGTACTACCTGTTTATTATGATTGTGGTGATTGCTCTTGTGTATGCGAATTCTGTGGTGCTTTATTTTGGTTTACTGAAAGAGTTCTTCGGTATTCTCGAGTTAATCACCCACGTTATACTCATTGTTGTCGATCGGGTGATGTTGTTCTTCCAAATCCTATTACTCCACCAAATGTGTTGTCTCGGTTTTTTGAAGATGATAGTTTTATGCGCAATATCAGAGCATATAATTCCATGTTTTCTATGACGTCTTTTGGTGCAAAGGTGGATGAAGAAATTAATAAAAGTCATGCTCCATACGTCTTCAAGGTATCGGGTCAGATTTCCCATTGGATTGGGTCTCTTTGTCCATAAGATGGTGGCCCCCACGTTTTTTACAGTTATATATGTGTGATACTAAGAATGAAGTTGTTAATCGAATTCGTGCTTTTCATGAAGACAACAATGTGATTTTATCTGCAGATATTGTCACTTGTCTGAGTGACATGTTAACTGCAAACAACGAATATGTGCGTACTTTTAAGACAGCAAAAGAAATTTCGCAGTCTATGAGTTTGGATTCGTATGCTGTTCGTCTATTTAACACTGTTCCTGATAGGAGATATGGTCCCCCGGCTGCCGGTACTTTGGGTTGCATCGTTTGTGGAGATGATGTTAGTGGCGCCTCCTATGATGTTGTCATATACTCAAAGACAGGTTTACCTCAACGTATAAGTAAATTACATCCAAGTTACATGCCTTTGATGTATCCCCTATTATTTCCGTACGGTGAAGCAGGTTGGTCTCCGCAATTACAGATACACAATCAATCTTCTGGTCGGGATAAGAACCTGACAAATAATATGTTCTACAGCTATCAGATTCATGATCGTTTAGGTGTTTACTCGCTTTTATTACGTGGTCGACGCCTATTTCAGCAGTATTTAGTTGATGCTTATACATGTATTGAACAATCAAGGCTAGATTACATTGAACATCACCAACAACAACTTCGTTCTGAGTATGTTACTGGCATTTATGATGCTTTGTCTAGAGGTGATACTGATACACAGGTCATAGGAAGGCGTGTGTTTCTCCCCGCATCATTCGTGGGAGGACCTAGATACATGTATAAGCATTATCAGGATGTGTTGGCAATATGTAGGGTTCATGGTAAACCGCAATACTTCATTACTTTTACTTGTAATGTAAAGTGGCCTAAATATAGGCGATATACAAGTACTATTGGTCAAGGTAATATTCAAGATAGACCTGACATTATTGCTCGAGTTTTCCGAATTAAAGTTGATGCTTTAGTTGACTTCCTCAAGGAAGACAAAACTTTCGGTGATGTTGATGCGCGTAAGTTGTTCATCTTTATTGGCATTTTTTAATAATGTGCTCTTGCATAATGTCATTGTTTAATATATATTTCCAAATAATTACTATTTGTTTGCAGATCTTTACACTATAGAATTTCAGAAGCGGGGTCTTCCCCATTGTCATTTGCTTCTTTGGGTTGCATCTCCATTTAAAATATATGAACCCACAGATGTTGACAAATATATTACAGCAGAATTGCCCAATCTTACAACCGAGGTTGCATTATATCGGACAGTAACCACCTGCATGTTACATGGTCCTTGTGGTTTGTTAAACATGGGTGCTCCATGTATGCGAGATAATAAGTGTAGTAAGCGTTTTCCAAAAGCCTTCACTTCGTCTACAACATTTGATGATAACGGATATGTTCATTATAGGCGACGTGCTGGGGTATGTCATGTACTCCAAAATGGCATAAAAGTTGATAATGGATATGTGGTACCCTATAATAAGCGATTATGCACACCATTTGATGCACATATAAACGTTGAACACTGTGGCTGGAATATGATGATAAAGTATCTATTCAAGTATGTTTCAAAGGGTGTTGATCGTGTCCGGTTTGTCCTACAACGATCTGAATCGACTGTTAACATTGCTTCTTCCAGCAATTTGCCTTTTGTCAATGAAATTAACACTTTTTTAGATGGTCGTTACATATGTCCTCATGAAGCTGATTGGAGAATTTTAAATTTCCCAATTCATGAACGTGATCCAGCTGTGCAAGTTTTAGCTGTTCATTTGGAAGGTATGCAGACAACTATTTTTAAAGGGAATACACAACTAAGCTTGGTGGTCAACAATCCTACTTTTGCTGTAACAACATTAACAGAATGGATGTACAACAACCACATAGATATTCGAGGGGTCAATTTAACATATTTAGATTATCCTACCAAATTTCGTTGGAATGCCTCAGCTAAAAGATGGAGCCACAGATTTAAAGCAAATAGTACATCAATTGGGAGACTCGCATATGTGCACCCAACAGCAGGAGAGTTGTTTTACCTTAGGATTCTATTATGTCACCAGAAAGGGTGCATATCATATGATGATATTCGTACTGTACACGGAATTACACACTCTACTTTTCGTGCGGCTTGTGAGGCTTTAGGTTTAACCGGTGATGATCGGGAATGGTTAGCAGCTTTTACAGAGGCATCTTCTTGGGCTACCGCAAGTGAACTGCGGTCTCTTTTTTGCCATTTGCTTCTATTTTGTGATGTAGGTAGTCCATTTCTCTTATGGGAATCTGCAAAATCCAAAATGGGGGATGACATTCACCGTGAATTAACTTTAGAGTCACCAACTCCCGAGTTACACGATGACATTGTAGAACAACAAATACTTCTGGAAATTCAAAAATTGTTACTTGCATCTACACCATCTAGATCCCTTGCAGATTTTGGCTTACCTCTGCCTTCACCGTCACTCCTTGCTGTACTTAGAAATCGACTCCTCCTTGAAGAAACAAACTATGACAAACAATCACTAGCTTCTCAACATGCATCTATGGTTTTACAGCTAAATCTAAACCAACTAAGAATATATGAGGATATTGTAAATGCTGAACAAAACCAAAAACAACTACTTTTGTTTGTATATGGACACGCTGGCACCGGAAAAACATATCTATGGACTACCATATTGTCATACTTCAGATCTATAGGAAAAATAGTGCTAGCTGTCGCAGCCTCAGGTATCGCATCCCTACTACTACCTTCAGGACGCACTGCACATTCTAGATTCATAATTCCAACAGAACTTACAGATAGATCATGTTGCAATATTAAAAAGAATACCCAACTTGCGGAGCTGTTGAAAAAGACTTCAATGATTATATGGGATGAAGCTCCAATGAGTGATCGGCGATGCTTTGAATCTTTGGATCGATCGTTGAAAGATGTACTCGAGAATAACAAATGTCATTTTGGTGGAATGTCAATGCTTTTAGGCGGTGATTTCCGTCAAACACTTCCCATTCAACCAAAAAGCACAAAATCACAAATAATGGCCCTAACTTTACCAAACTCATATTTATGGCCTCATTTTACCGTTTACAAGTTACACTACAATATGCGTCTATCTAATGCAGATAATACAACTATTCCTTCTCATTCGTTATCTGAATTTGCTTCTTGGATCCTTGATATTGGAAATGGAAATATTGGCGTTCCAGATGCAACCGATCCAGAAAACACAAAAGTTATAGATATACCTCCCAAATTTATCATTGACACAACGAAAGGACTTCAATCACTTATAGATTTTGTATATGGAAGTGAAATATTGGCAAATCCATCACCTGAAAATTTATCAGATAGAGCCATTATTTGTCCGAAAAATGAAACCGCAGATAAGGTGAATGCTTTCATCTCACTGAAGAATACAGGTCATCAAATTGTGTATAACAGTTGTGATTCAGTCATCTCGCATACACAAGACACAATCGAATTAGACACGTTATATCCACAAGAATATCTTAATAAATTAGAATTTTCGGGGGTTCCAACACATGAATTAGTTTTGAAAATTAATACTCCCATCATGCTATTAAGGAACATCAACCAAAAAGAAGGTTTATGTAACGGGACAAGACTAATTGTCTCCCAATTATTGCCATCTGTTATCGAGGCCTTTATTATAACAGGAACTTCTGTAGGAAAGCGGGTGTATATTCCAAGAATCAAATTTGTACACAACACTTCTGATTTGCCTTTCATTTTCACCCGAAAACAATTTCCAGTCAAAGTATGTTACGCAATGACCATTAACAAAAGCCAGGGACAATCTCTAAAGAAAGTTGGGTTATATTTACCACAATCTGTTTTCACGCATGGGCAACTATATGTAGCATTGTCAAGAGCTACCTCACCACAGTCAATTAAAATTCTATTGGATCCTGAATGTGATATACCCGCAAATACCACCAGAAATGTCATCTTTAAAGATTTGCTAACAAAAATTGATATGCACGAGGTTTTCATATCATCCATGATTTTAAAATCTTAAATTGTACTAAATTGAATTACATACATGTCACATATATCTATACTACATCTCTAAATTAACAAAATGGTAGAGTATACTAACTATATATTTCATGTTTACACAGTCACAAAATCATGTCACTCGAAATGGATAGAATTTCAAACCTACACACCGGATGCTTGGGAAAAATGATACAGGTGCGCGTGCTGCAGAAATGGAAGCCTAACTTCAGAAAAAACGAAACATGGTTCATCATCATAGATAAAAATGTAAGTAATACTGAAAGTCAATATATTCTTTTACACTATATTACTTTGTAAAAATATAAGCTATAATCTTATGCATACATTAGGGGGATGCAATTCAAGTACTTGGACAAAGAGCTGATCAATCATATGTTGAATCTTCACTACTTGTCTCCCAATGTTACCAAATTAAAGACTATACTTGCACTAACGTTGATCCATATCAAAAATTCATTTCCAACCCATTCCAAATAAATGTTGGCGTTGCATCAACGATTGAGGAAATACCAGATGACAGTAGCATTCCAAAAACAAACTTCCACTTCTGTTCAAGATCACACCTAAATACTATTGCCGACAAAAATATCGAGTACCCATGTATAAAATCCTACATTATATATTCATATAAAAGATTTATAGATACCATCATATTGCCATCTATTTACCTAATTAACATTAATATTTTAATGAGTTTTACTACACAGATTTTATTGGAGCTTTCATTAATATAAAAGACTGTAACAAAAAAGATGGAGAACATTTCATAAGTATGACATTAACAGACGAAAAGTAAGTTATAAATACTAGATATATTACATATATCACACTACCTAATTATACACATAATTAGTTCATTAATATTGATAATAGTGCTGAAGACATGCCAATAATTTTGTGGAAGGAGTGCATAGAATCTGCAAACAAGTTCAACCGAAAAGAACTGACATCACAGTCCAATCCAGTAGTCGTTGCCCTTACCAATATGAAAGCCACATTGTACGCATGTCAGTTCTAGATTTTACCTTCCTGCACTATAATTTTTTCAGTTTCCTATTTCCAACTCATAATTATCTATTCCACAGCAAGTTTGAAACTAACATCTACTAGCGCAACACATATGTATGTAAACCCCGAGATAGCAGAAACACGATCTCTAATCCAAAGGTCAAATCCGTTCAAACAACACAAATAATATATATGTAAAAGCATATACAGCCACTAACTCAATAAATAAAAGCAGATTCCAAGGACAACTACCTGCAACATCCACCCCATCTGCTATACCAACAACTTTACAACAATTCAACAGTCTAGAACACTCTCATACTGTGGTAAGCTACATGACTTTAACATTTCCTAATATTACTAATTGCTACAAACAACATATGCTAACAAAAAATCAATACATACGTAGGGAAAAACATACGTTGTAAAAGCAACAATTTCTGACTTCACTTTTAGAGATACGTGGTATTATGTCCGGTGTCCCATATGTGCTAGATCAATATTCAAGAAAGGTGACGAGTGGTTTTGTACAACTCACGGAACAACCAATCAACCAAATTTCCAGTATACACCCACATTAACTTTCATTTTCCCTATTATTCTTAAAAACAACAATGTAACCATATTGCACATGCAGCTACAAAATTGCAGCAGTTATCGTAGATGCAACAAACTCTACAACCATCTTCATGTCTGATGAAGCCACACGTAGCCTCACAAATACATCTGTGCAAGAAATGCTTAGCAAGCACCCTGATGACACCAAAAAAGTTCTACCCTCAACAATTGAACAACTTAAAGGCTCAACAAAAAATATGTTTATAGAGTGCAGCAAATCATCCAGTTCCAACATCATCCTTCATACAATCACCAAATTAACTACGTGTGAAATTTCAGAAAACCCAGCCATATCACCACTAACAAGAGTTACACTAACAACAACAGAACACACCGGAATCAACAACAAAGATGACACGACGCCTAAAAAATCACGCAAACCAAGTAAACGCCTACCACTTGGCCCTACAGGTAATTTATAAAAACTTCTATATTTATACAAACATTATATAACAACACTCTCTTTACTTTGCAGTTGATGTTCCAATAACATCGCCTCAGAAACCAAAAAAAAACAAGGAGCAAGGATAAACATAATCTCGTATGCAACCCTGAAACACCCAGCACAACCCACTACATTGTTAATATCTTATCTACACATCCAATGACATGTATTTTATCTTTTCATACATCTATGTATATAAACAAAACAAACAATAAGAATGGTGTTAAACTATGTTAAAACAATTGTATCTTATGTATAACTCACCATGGTGGTAAACTATCTTAAAACACTTGTATCTTATGTATGTCATATATGTGCTAACCTATAATAACATCCTCACGTCCATTTCCACTGTATGCGTTTACACACAACATCCATCACATATAAAAATAAAATTATCTTTATTACATGCTTAACATCCACTTACAACAAACCAATCAGAATCCTACCTCTACATAATTTATCTCCAATAATATCATCTACCAACACATTTACATCATGAATAAAAATAGAACCATTATTCCACAAAGAAAAGCAACGCTATACAAAAGCCAATACACAACACATCTAAAAAATGATGTAGACTACTAACATAAATCCCTTTTACTAACATTACATGAAAAATGGCACATCAAACTACAACATAAATATGTCCCGGGGCGGAGCCCGGGAAATACACCTAGTTTTTATTAATTTACACCTAAATAATATAATGACCCATTTTTCTTAAAAAAAAATGATTTCACATATTTATTTCAATCAATCATTATAAAGTTACACAACAATCACATAACTCTCTTAGTTAATAACTTTTTGAAAATAATTGAATAATAATTATGATTTTTAACTATCGAAATTCGTTGTATTTTGTAACCATAGTTGTTACGGATTATAATTTATTATTAATAATTATATCACTATGTAATCCTCAAACAACTATGATTTCATAATTTCAACCAATCCTTATTCATTATGAATTTACCACAAAACATTTATATTTATTAATTATTAAAACTTTTAATTACCATTGTTCAATAAAATATTCTTATTAAAAACCTAGTCAATCTTATATATATGGAAAATTATCTTTACTTCCTACATATTCTAACAATATTAATGAATATTCTTATTAAAAACCTAAATTTATTTAAAGCCGATCTTTCATTCCAACTTTTATAGCCGAACAAAAAGGAAAGTATTTAAAAGTAAATAAACGAGTCAAATCCATAATTTAAGGTGATGATTCGATTTACCTTAAAAAATGACATAAATGATACAATCAATAGTCAATACCTTCCAAAATCTCATCTTCCCAATTCCATCCCTCCACTATATAAATAACCGATCTAAGAAAAAAACATACAATATTATTCTACAACATATAAAAATGAAGAAGGTTATCTTGACATGCTTCTTTCTTCTTGTGTGCGTCTCCGCATCAGGTTCGAAACAACATATCTTCTATCATTTCCTATATCCTTGTATCTATTTACAAGTATACAAGAATTGCGATATATATAAGCATGATATAAGTTTGGTCATTTTTTATTTTATTTTATATCAAATGATGTTATATTGTTTATCATTATTAGGTTTCACAAGTTTTCCATCGAAGCCAAAAGTCATCCCGTCTCCTCCGAGTGGGCCTTCAGGTCCTGGCTATCCATGCCAAACCGATGGTCAATGCCAAATGTACTGTTCGTGTGATGTGAGCGAGCAACATTGTAGCAATAGTTATTGTTATTGTGGTGACACTCGTTGCTAATACAAATTAAGTCGATATGCTTAATATTTTAATATTTTAATATTTTAATATTGAAATTAAATGTTAAATGGTTATTACTCATTCGTATTTCTACTTAAATCAGGAACTTCAGTTACATCCTCGTTTGTGTAAATCTTTGTTTCCGGTGATTGGTACCAAACAAAAGTTAGTTAGGGTATATTTTTAATTTTGAATTATAAAAAAGTAAATAATCGAGAATACAATATTGCAAAAATGATAGTCTAGGTTAGAATATTAGAGAAAATTTAGATCGGTGTGCTAAAAGCAAATGAATCAAAAACATATACTATGTTGAAATGGGTAGAATAATAATTTTGGGGCTTCTAAGGAATTAGCGAAGCCTTTTGGATAAAAAGTCGAATTTTTCGTAACAGCTATTTGTGTAAAATCGTTTTTATCTAATTAAAAAACCGTCTTTAAAAAGCTGTCATTGATAAAAAAAAACCGTTTTCAAGAAATCTACATTGTTTAAAGCCATCGACGTTCTGCACATCAAAAGTCACCAAACGTTTTGCTGCAGAAACCTATTTCATGTTGGATATTGAATTTCTTCTTTGAAGTATCAATGTTTGATTCATCGCATGAAGCTTCACGTATTTTATGTGATTTTTTTTGTTTGCGTCCCAAAAAGATTTTGTTTGTTTTGTTGTTACCATGTACAACAGTACAAGCAAGTTTACTAGGAGTGGTTAACTAACTATCAAATGATTGGTAAAAATAATCGTTAGTTTTTAAATATATTAAATTAAATAAAAACTAAAAATAAAAAGATTTCAAAAACTAGTAACTACTTTATTTGAAGTGTTTTTTTTTTTTTCTAAAATTAAAAATATATTCCAAATAAAGTTTTTTCGAACATTTTGTTAAAAAAAATCAAAAACTCTGCAAAACATTTATTATGGTGATAGAAACAGTGTTGTCATGGTTTTTGGTTAATTATGTCATTAAAAGTCATTAACTAAATCTTTGTAATGTTTTTAGTCGAATATTAGCTAAAGCCTTCACAATCTAAACTATGTTCACATTTTTATTCACTGTTTTATATACTAAGCGTGACAATTACGACCCAATAATCACATTCGATTATTATAACAAAATGTCATAAATTGTCACGTTTAAAATTATTTGTGTATTTCTAAAAATATAAATATTTACAATAAAAGAAAAATAAAATATGTGCTTATAAGTACCTTCTTATCACTGATTTAAAAATTATCTGTAACTAAAAGTATTTTATGATAGTTAATTATTTATGCATGTGCCGTAAAGTTGAAAATAGTAAGGATAAAAGGAAAAAAACATGTCATTGTTAATGTTCTATAGTAACAGTTAAATATTAAAAAATGAAAAAAAAAAAAAAAATTAGTCACAACTTTTATTAATTGCATGAGTAAAAAGTGGTCAAGTTTTCTAAAAAGAAATTAAATTACCTCCTACTATTTCTTCTACTAATATGTCTACCCATTAGAATCGTGAAACATGACGATCATTCTCCAATTCCATTTAATTTTAGTTGATATCCCTATAAGGTAATTGAAAAAAAAAAAAAAGAACAAAAAGAAGATTCACATAAACAACAAGAAGTAAAATCATGTAATCAGTTTCTTCCATACGACTCCAACTCTATTCTCGTTTGATTCTCCTCATCTGATTGTTCTCGTTTTTCTCTGCTGCACACATTGATATCGACATCGACATCGACAGCCATAGCCATCATACAACAACAAGTAAGACAACAAGTAATTTTTTTTTTTTTTTTTACATTATCACTTCCCTGTTGGTATGATTATCTTCTTTATTGTTAATACAAATTTTGTTTTATTAATGTTGAAACGGTCTCTGGTTTGATTAGTTGGTTTGTTGTTAATAAAATCTTTGTTTTATTGTTGATATAGTCTTTGATCAATATGGAGGATGTGAATTTAGGTGAAGGGGATACAATTCTCAATCCTCAAGATGAAAACATTCCTAAAGTTGGAATGATATTTGATTCAGAAAACGAACTTAAAGATTACTTTAAAAAATACACATACCAGATTGGATTTGGTGTACGGAAAGCTAGTACAAGAACAAAAAAATGTATTGCCGCAACATACTACTCGGATGTTCCAGAGTAGGTGTATATGAGCCTAAGACAAACAAACCATATGTAAAGTCTTCTAAAACAAATTGTCAAGCAAAAATTTGTGTAATTGCATATGGTGATGGAAGCTGTACTATCTCTCGTGTTTTTCTTGAACATAACCATGCTTTATATCCCAAAAAATCTTGTTTTCATCGATCACATAAGAAAATGGATTCATATGCCAAGAGAAGACTTGAGTTGAATGATTATGCTGGAATTCCATTAAACAAATGTTTTCATTCGTTACTTGTTGCAGCGAAAGAGTATGACAATTTGCCATTTGGCGAGACATATTGTAGATCTTACATTGCAAAAGTAAGACATCTAAGATTTGGGCAAGGGGACGCTGAGGCACTTCGTAATTATTTTGTCCGTATGCAAAAAAGAAGTTCAATTTTTGTTTACGTGATTGACATGGATGATGAAGGTCGTATGCAAAATGTATTTTGGGCAGATGCAAGGTCTAGGGCAGCTTATAAGTCATTCAGAGATGTTATTTCATTTGACAACACATATTTGACGAACAAATATAATATGCCGTTTGCACCTTTTGTTGGAGTAAATCACCATAGACAATCTATCTTATTTGGATGTGGTTTGCTTTCTCGAGAGGATACAAAAACATATGTTTGGTTATTCAAGTCATGGTTAAAATGCATTAAAGGAAGGGCAACAAAAGCAATAATAACAGATCAATATCGATCAATGCAAGGAGCTGTAGCACAAGTATTCCACGAATCTCATCATTGTCTTTGTCTTTGGCATATTATGAAAAAGATTCCTAAAAAATTAATTAGGTTGGATCAATATAAAGTAATAAAGAAGACTCTAAAAACCCTTGTGTATGAGTCTATGAACACTCAAGAGTTTGAAGATGGGTAGTGCAAGCTAGTTGAAAAATATAGACTTGAAAAAAATGAGTGGTTATGTTCTTTATTCAAAGATCGAAGTCGTTGGGTGCCGATATATGTAAAAGCAAACTTTTGGGCGGGGATGTCTACTACACAACGAAGTGAAAGCATGAATGCTTTTTTTTGATGCGTATGTTAATTCTAAAACATCATTACGATAATTTGTTAAGCAATATGACAATGCGCTAAAAAGCAAAATCGAGAAAGAAAATAAGGCTGATTTTGAGTCTCTTAATTCTTCATATAAGTTAGTAATTGGGTTTTATTTTGAGAAGCGGTTTCAAGAGGCGTACACAAATGCAATTTTTAAGTTGTTTCAAGATGAGTTACAGGGTATGTTGTTTTGCAATTTTTTATTGGTCAAAGTCGATGGTGCACAATATGTGTTTCATGTCACAAATATTATCGAATGGAAACATGGGGATTTTAAAAAAAGAATTGTTTATACCGTTAGGTATGATGCAATTGCATTTGATGCACAATGTTCATGTCATTTGTTTGAGTTTCGCGGAATTAATTTTAGGCATATGGTGAAGATATTGATTGATAAGGATGTTAAAGAATTTCATCCACGATTTATTTTGTCTCTTTGGAGGAAAGATGTGAAGCATGGACACTACTCGGTGATAAATTGTTATGAAGATTTGATGAGTGGTGAAAATGCTAAATAGTTTGACCACTTGTGTTTCACTTTTTATGAGGTTGTGCATAAATTCTCATGAAAAGTATAAATACTTGGTAAGTTGTATAAATATGGCTAAAGAAAAGTTCAATGATGATTCATTTTGGGGTTGTAGTAGTAACGTAAATTTGATAGTTGAAGACGTTTGTGTTCCAGACTTGACTAAAAAATTGTTACCATCCTTGCAAGTACGTAGTAAAGGTCGTCCACCATCCAAGAGAAAAGAATCTGGAGCAGAACGAGTTATGAAGAAGAAAAGAAAGAAAAATATAATATTTTATCTATTTAGATTTTTTTTGTTTAATATAGTTTTTAATAACTGCGTTTTTTTAGGTGCTTGAAAAAACGGATAACATACAAAAAGATCCAACGGGTCCAAGTTGTGAGCATGGAGCAATTTCCTATAATGATGAGCCGAACTACCAATTTGATCTTAATGCACCGGTTTGAACAAGAAAGACCGATGAATATGAGGAAAAGAATGATTTTCAGTTTTAGTTATTTTTAGATTAGTTATTTTGAAAGAACCAATTGGCATTGTTAAAGTATTAAGAATTAGAGTTATTGGTTTCAAAATGAAGTGAAAATTGGTCATTTTTGGAATAATTATGATTTTATTTCTTTGAGGTTCAAAAGATGTTGCAATGTGTACTTTTCTTAAGTTTCCTATGGAGCATACCAATAGAGTTTTACATGATACATACAAATGGAACCAAAAATAGCAATGCACTTTAAAAATTGAATCAAGAATAGCAATGCACTTACAAAATAAAAGGTGGGACAAATTACAAAAAATGATTTCCAAATAGAGGGGCATTTATGTCCAAATATTTAACAAAATGGAACCTTTGGCCATTTTTGTCCCGGTTTACAAAATACAATACAGGAGCATTTGTGTCCAAATGAGAAATGAAACTAATGGACATTTTAATAATATCATCTAGAAGAAAGAATCGATACATTGAACTTCGTTTGACACAAAAACACTTTCTAGATCAAGTATATGACCTTGTTACCCATGGTGACAACAACTTACAAGATATCCCCTTTCAATGGTCAAAACACAACACATTCATACTTAACAGGAAAAGTAACAAAACCAATGTTATCTCTAAGAAAGAATAGATACATGAGCTTAGTTTAATACAATAATTGATATTGAACCCAAATGGTTTGTTGTTTCTGCCTAATGACCATGTCCATTTCCTTCTATGTCAATGCTATTGCAACGGTTATAAGTGGTTTTGTAGCCATCTGCACAAGTTCCTCCAAACATTTAAGCTTGATAAAGTGAGACCAAAAATTACGTGATATACACATTCCATGACATAATGAACGATTGAAGATTCAATTGCAAATTAGTTTCCAGATTATATCAACAGAAAAATATTGGAACCATCAAACTCATTCAATTGGTAAAAAAAATTTCATACAATATCTCCTTCAAATTCCGTTAATGGATAATAACATTTAAATTTCGATAAACCTATGGCTAAAAATCAACAAACTGATTTACTCCTTGTTGGTCTTCAAAAAACTCTTTTATTTGATCTTCGTTTATGGGTTTTATTGCCTTCTTCAAATTACACAGGCAACAGTTCTACCAAAATACACAGTTGAATTCCACAGAAACCTCGATTGGATCAATACACATTTCGATGCATTCCAATCAGTATCCAAGCTGTCAACAACAACAGAATCAGAGTATCAATCGGTCCCCTTGTGCTGATGATAAATCTGTGGCGATTGGCGATGTCAATTGAAAATTAGGAGGCAACGATTGGGGGTGTCGATTGAAGATCAGCATTGATTGAAGATAGGTAAAAGCGAGTAGGGGTGTCGATTGAAGATCAATAGCAATTGAAGATGAGTAAAAGCGAGTGGAGGTGTCGATTGAAGATCAATAGAATGTAGAAGATAATGGAAGATGTCGATGAAAAAAATAAGAGGAAAAGAAGAGCACGTCTGATCTTATGTAAATCTTCTCTCTCTCTCTCTCTCTCTCTCTCTCTCTCTCTCTCTCTTTTCTCTCTCTCTCTCTCTTTTAATTTTCAATTACCTCATTAAGTGTATTATAGGGATATCAACTAAAATTAAATGGAATTGGAGAAGGATGACATGTGTCATGATTCTAGTGGGTAGGCATATTAGTAGAAATAAATAGTAGGAGGTAATTTAATATCTCTTTTCGAAAACAAACACTTTTTTAAACTTTGATTTTTCTAACTTCTAAATTTCTCAAATTTTCAAAGTCCCCAAAATTTCCACTTTTCTTTTTTGCTTTCCAAAAAATTTCCCCACTTTATTTTTTTTATTTCCTTAAAAATTGTCCATTATCTCTATTCCTCACTCTAGAAACCTAAACCACTGTCATGCTCTTCATTGTTTACTATCTTGTGAAAACCATCCACACTAGACCAACCAACCACTGCACGACCACACCTCTCTTTATTCTTATTTACATGATACGTTATAGGATATAGAATACAATAGATGAAATCCCCCACCGTAACACCACCAGAAAAATGACTTATAAGCCCAACGAAGTTTTCAAATCGTTTAAAAAACCACAATTATGTTTTGTTTGTTCAAGAAAACCCAACGAACCTAACATCTTTTTTTTTCTAAAAAAACTCAACTAATTTACACTTTTATTCAATTATCGTTAGGGTCAATTGGCTAATGAAAGTGAACGAATGACATGGCTTATGGCGTGGAATTAAATATCAGAAAAATGAATTGTAAGACCAACAAAGTTCAAAAACGTTCAAAAAACCTCAATCATATTTTTCGTGTTAAGAAAAATCCAACGCACTTAACCTAGTCTAAAAAAACCACAATGAAGTTACGTTTATGTTCAATTGTCATTAGAGGCAACTAGATTCATTAAGTATACAATTAGTTGGCAAATGACATGACATTATATTTAATGAGATGGAATAAACATATTAGAATTTCCCTTGGTAAATTGATTTAGGACTTGAAGAAGAGAAAAACGAACGATGTCTGTGTTCAGTCTCTTATAATGGCTACTTCTGCTTCTTCCTCTCAATCGTTGATCTTCAACTCAAGATCTACAAAAAATATATTTTATGATGCAAATTCTTGTGGATGTGGATGCCCTTCTAATATTTGGATATCTAGAACCGAGTATCATCCAGCTAAAAAGTTTTGGGCTTGTTCGAATATATGGATAAGTGTAATTGAAAGCTTTATCATGTCCATCTTCTATCTATCTGTTTGCTTCCTTCAAAAACAAGAACTTCTTAAGATAATCTAGAAAATAGATAGAAGATGGATATGATAAAGCTTTTAATTGCACTTACCTATCTATTCAAACATGCCCTTAACTTTTTCTCTAGATGATCCTCCATTCTAGATGTCCAAGTCCAAGAAAGG